CCTACAAAATGATAATTGTTAATATGCTAATTAAAATAAAATAAAATAAAAATATAATTATAGATTGATCTAAAATATAAAATGTAATTAAGAATTGTTTTAAAAAATAAAATATAATTAATAATTAATCAAAAATTAATTAAATTAAAATATAAAATGAACAATAATTAAAGATTGGTTTAAAATATAATTAGATTAGAAGGTTATAAATTACAAGCAATAATTAATATCGACCATTCATTTCTAATATATACACAAGTGCGTGAATATATATTTATATGCATAGACATATATATATATATATATATATATCTGTTGTCTTGTTCATATATATAGATATATAATATGTGTATGCATAGGTATGTGAATGTGGGGAACTGGTTCTGGAAATACTCTTTTGATCCAATGGGGCACTAGAGATCCTCAATTGGTAACCTGAAAAAGGACGAACACTCCGGTCGAGGGTGCCGGAATTAGTACTCCGACGGTCAAATCAGTATCTACTCTCTTGATTACTTTTATTTTAAGTTAAGCGTACTAATTCTCACATACCTCTTTCTAGCTGATGTTCTTCTACTTATATCTTTTCTTTCTTGGGCCTCGGAGCCGGGCCCACTTTCAATTCGCCGTATAGCTATTCACTCGGCTTCTTTTGTTGCAAACCGCTTTTCACTCGGCCCCTTAGTCAACCGGCTATTTGGCCAAATAGGGCAGGATTTAAATGTGCAAGACGGAGCTGAATGCGATGTATATATTTCGACTCTCCGGGTCCAATTATTCGGCCACTTTACGACTCCCAATATTCGGCCCCTACAATTGCCCCCCAAGCACTCCACTAACGACAGTTAGCTGGAGTGTTTGCTTTTGAACTCAAAAAGTCAGAGCCGAAATTCGGCGGCTAACCTCATTCCAACGCGGATGTCAGAGCACACACCTCCTGGTTATCATTTCAACTTCCTGCCCCTTCGTACGCTTCCATTTATTGTGATTTAAAATCTTGTCGTCTTTTCGAACACACATTTTTGGATATTTAGAGTTTTTGGACTGCCTTCCGACTCACCTCTGCAACTTCCATTCATCCTTCATTGTCCTCTCCGTCTCTTGTAAGTTCTCTTCCTCTCTGCTTTGAATCCCTTTTCCTGGTTTGCCTTTAGTTTAGTACGCTCTTATAGGCTAACTGAAATGGCAAAACATCTGAAAGACATCCTCTCCGCGGATCGAATCTCTGGCTTTCGACGCCATTTTTCTATCCTTGATGACGTTCATCTGTCGCTTGTGACAGACGGCACCCTCGACATGGAGAGGGATGATGAAAGCACAATCGTCTTCCCTCTCTTATCAATTATAGAGGGCGGAATCCGCTTCCCGCTTCATCCATTTCTTAGGGCTATCCTTCGCCATTGGAGTCTAATCCCCTCTCAACCCAATGTCAACTTTTTAGAATCGTAATGGGGATTATAGAGCTAAACCGTCGCCTTAGGATTAACCTCGGCATACTTGCTATTCGGCATTGTTACGCCTTGGCCAAGTCTTCTGGTTGGCATGGACGCTATTTCCTTAGGGCTAAGGATACCGGTCATCAACTAATGACTATGTTTTCCAGCTCTGGTAAGCGAGTCGATGATGTTATGGTCGTTGTCCAAGGTAACTGGGAATTCGATGAAAGCGAGGATCGCCCTGATCCTATTTCTAGACGGAGGGGCGAACCAGATGGCCGTATAGTTTTTTGCATTTATTTTTCTTATATTTATAAAGCTTCATTTTTGAGATCTCATGATTTTGCTTGTGCAGGAAACGATTTGAAGAAAGTCTTGACTTCAACCGACGACGCCGTTGTAGACCGCCCGGGAGCTCCGCTCCGCGCGTAAGGGCGCGAATCGTTTGTTCTTAGCTACTACAGTTCAGACTCATGTCACGGTTCTGAATCTAATCTCACAAAGTCCAATGTGAGACTGATAAATCACCAAAGAGTCCAAATCCAGCAAATCGTTTTGAAAAATTGATTTTAATAAAGAAGTGCCAAACATGGACTACTTTTCCAGATACAGAGTCGTCACCTAAATATTTTAGTTTTGGGAAAATTTAGGAAACCTTGACTCGTGCCTAAGGCCACGTGTCCGTCATCACCAAAGTTGCCTCGGCTCGGGAACTTGGGTACGAGAGGGGAAGGTCATGCAATGAGCACCCCCGCTTGCCCGATCAAAGATCGGCCTTTACTAACATGATATGTTGTTTTTGAAAACACATGCGTTCTTATTCCGGTTTATTAGACTAGCATTACTACGTGATGCGCACAGCATACAAGCATAGACTAAATCACTCAAGTTGGAACAAAACATCTCATGTTTGTTTAA